GGTTTACCAATACTAGACCTTCCTATGCTTCAGTGAGCCATACAACTATCTTGATAAATCTTATAATTTTCCTTCTGACTTTTTGTAGTTGCTTCTCAACCTTTAAATGTAAATATAAAAGCTAATGGTGGAAATTTCAAAGCCAAGTAACCACTCCTATTAATTTGAATGTGAAAGATACGACTAAGTTTTCTATGTCAACTCTGAAAATCAATCTTTTTCACGGTATAAAATTTCCAAAGTTCCTGTGCTTATGTCACTATTCAAGATTTTGAGAAAAGAAATCAACTTTCCTTTTCCCTTCCATCCCAGATTTTATTTATCTTGAGAAAGTCTTCTGTGTTCTGGTTAGTTGATAGTTTTGAAGGGTCTGCAGTTTCCTGACCACACTTTGAATACCTTTACATAGGACTATCAATTGCTTTCATTTCAATTAAAATTAAGCAACAAAGACAAGTCAAATAAAGAATATTTTTATAAATCCATACTCCTAGATGTGAACAGGTATTTTTCCCATTAACAATTAGGAATTTCAATTGTAGAGGATAACACTCATGGTATTAGATGATATGTAGAATCAAAAACTGTAAACAGAGAAGTCCTGAAATATGAGAAAAAAATTGCTATCTTCAATATTTCAGTTTAACAAGTAACACTGCAGCCATGCAACACCAGCAAATTTTTCTATTTCTATTATATTGTGTATGGACCAAATTCACAGTCTTGTCAGAAATGACAGAAGTTGTTAAAGAGTATTATGTTATTCATGCACAGTGACTCTTTTAGTGTACCCAGGACTGATCAGGCCATTGCTTTAGGCTGGAATGCTCTGAAGAAAACAGACACTAGACAGAAGCCAGAATTACTGACGTGTTAGCCTTTTAAAAAAAAGGAGGGTCAGACTTTGTGTAAAGATTGCACTGTGTTTAGATCCCATTTATTTAAATCAATGGAAAAAAAAGGATTCCATAGTTTTCAGTGTAAGAAAATGTTGATTCTTATGGGAAGCCTTCTCTGTTTCTTGGTGGAAGTGCAAAATCTGAAATACATGGGGAATAAAGGTACCTTTCAGCAAAGTAATAAAGATCTCTGGCATGGTTTCTCTGAGCTGGCCCTGGAAGGAATTGCTTTTGTATTGTGAGCATTAGTACTATTTCTGGGATAAAATACATTTTTTTCCCCTGCTTTTGAATAATTTACCTTTTTATTTTATAGTGAAAAGCATTACTGCCAAAATAGTGTGAACATAATCTACTGCAATTAGATAGATAGATAACCTATGCAGTAGGCCCAGTGAAAACCCTGCATCATTTAAAAAGTACTAAGAGTGCTTAAAAGAGCCTTACAAATAATTTCATAAGTTATAAAAATAGTTCAGTGCGGGGTTATTGCGCGCTCCTGTCTGTTTCCATTCCATTGCTTTCCAGCCCCATCGTTAAATACAGCATGACAGTAACTCTTGGAATCAAGGAGACATTCTCCTGCACAGCCTATTTCTGTTCTGAAGATGGATGCAGGCTCTGATACTGGATTTTGAAGAAGCTGTTGTGCCCAGTATACTCTACATAAGGCTGGGTAAGAGGGAAGGACCACTGTATTGTACAGGGAACAAAACATTCTTGACACGCAGAATGGGCTGTTGCGTGTTCACATCACGCACTCTACAAATCATCTTGGACGCTTTATAACTTTAAATAGCTGTTTTTCAGAAATCTCTGACTTGGTGCTTCATATGGCCCTTACTACTATTGTTCTCAGAGCAACTGGAGAACAATTTTTTTTCCTCATAGCATTATGTGGGAGAGAAAACCGGGATCTCCACCTTAGAGCTGGCCTAAGGCTGAGTGTACACTGGATCATGTGTCTCATCTATAGTTATCTGCTTAGAGGAAGGCTACAAGCACAGATTCAGCCCTTGTGTCTGATCCACCTTACCTCTAAATCTGCTGGGTGCTCTATCAGGCAGCGACTAAGAACTTTCTAGATTGGTTTTGTACTGAAATAATAATTCTTTCACAAGGTTTTTTAAAGATCTTCTCCCACTTGTAGATTCCTCTTTGGGATGCGTGTGTGGGGATTGAACTCTGAGGAAGGCTAAGTGTGTCCCCCCTTCAGAAGGCCTTAAAGCTTTTCAGAGCTTCAGTCCTTCAAAAAATTAGAAAGCCTTCTCATTGGTTTAGGCTGTACAGTTTGCCTTTAGAGTCCTGGCCCAGAATGTATCCCATCGGAGAGCTCAGGATTCAGAGGCCATACAGGGGAGGGCTCTTGTCCTCTCTGAAGTCTCCAAGCTATGGCTCTGAAATCTCAAAGAAAATCCCTTCTGTACTATTATGAAAAATGGAAAGAAAGTGTAGAAACAAACTTTAGGCCATTTTATTTTCCTAGTTTCTGTGAAGGGTAACAACTCAAGTTGTTTTCTGATGGAAATAATACTAAATGTGCACTTCAGTAATCACATTTTCAATGAAAAAAATCTTACAAGCACTTTTACTTCAAATGCCCTCTCTTTGCCCAAACTGTTTTCATGGATTACATCTTCTTTGTGTACTTGGGCAGTACAAATGCTTTAGGGGAAGGTGTGATGCTCACTCTTATGTCACCAGATTCTCTTTAATTGGCAGGATCTTTCCATCTTAATCCTACAATCAGTTTCTATCCACTTCTCTGTACAGAAAATTATTTGCATCAGAATCGCTGAGTAAGGAAACCTCAAGTTATAGTAGAATTTTATTTATGCTGAAGAAATTAATGCCAGCTAATATTCTTGTTTCTTGTTCTATTTTTCTTCTGTATTTGATTTTTGGTAATTGGCCCAACTTGTGTCCTACTGTGGGAGCTTGGCAGAGGGAGAGGGATAAGGAACGGAGAAAAAGATTTGTAGGTGGCAGGGACAGCTTGTGTATGTGGCTGCATGCATATGTGAGCTGGCAGAAAGCAAGGCTATGTGGATTTTAACTGTTTAACTAATACTGTACGTAAATCTTTAGCTAGCTGGGAATGTGACCCAAGAAAGGCAAAAGAAATATTTACAGGTGCTCCGCCGGTATTTGATTTCTGTACAGGAGTGATCAGCATGCACTTAATTACTTCCCCAGAGACCATGTCCATGCAAGGGTGAATCATGCAACTCTCAGTTGACTCATGGGTTGAAAAAAATGGAGTTAGCACAATCCAAAATGGCAAGGATTTGTGGTCGCAAGGAGAAAAATAATATATACATTTACACAGCAAATGTAGGCAGTGAAGGATTTTCTGTTCAGTACTTCTTATCATGGTGGAGTGAAGACTTGGTTTTTTTTAAGAAAAAGGCAACTTGAGTAGAAAATGAAAGCCAATATATTGCCATTCCACCTCTAGCTCTGATCTTGCTTGATCTGGTAAGTTAAATGGGGTAAGTGCATGTGACATTATTAGAGGAAAAACTAGGCAATAGAGGACAGTATTTTAATTGCTCAGAGGAACTCTTCCTCCTGAGTCAGAAATAAAGCTGCGCCTCTACATGCTGTCAATGGCAATATGGTGTTGGTTAATTACCCTTTGAATAGCGTCTAATGCAGAAGTTGTGATGATCAGTCGTTATTAGAAACCAAAATGACCTTTATTTAGGACAAGTGCTTTGGCTGCATCCAGTTTTCGGTAAGTGCTTTACATCTATTCCAGGTTTTTTTGTCTGTAGTTCCAAGTGGATGTGTTGTTTTCTTGTTTCTTTGCCTCAATCTGTTAGGTAGTGGTGTTTTCTATTATATTTTGGGTTCCAGCTGAGAGACAGCTCATTTAAAGTGGTGGGGAGGAAGCCTCGAAAAGAGATGGATATTTGATACATGCCACTGAAATCCATTTGTAGAGAAGGCACTAAGTTTGTTCGAAAGTAATTCCTTTATAGGGGTATTACCAATTCTAAATACTCTTTTTTTCTAGTTGAAATGGAAAACCACTTGAAAGGAAAGAACCACTGTGTTTTAAGTTCCACAAATAGTATTGCATGCATGTGATGTTAAATGGATACTTGGTTATCATGAGAATCTACAGCCAAGGCTTTGCGTGTAGGACTCGGTATTCCGGACATTCACCTCCGTGTACGTCAGAGTGGATTAGTTCTTCAGGTTGTGGCAGCTTCTGCAGTGGTTCCTGAGGGGTGTTTCAGAACTCTGCATCTCTTGTTTAACATGGCAGCTCGGAGAGTCCAGATAGGTTTAACATGTACTGCATTCAGCTTGCATTTTGTTTTAAAGGAGTCATTTTTGCTCTCAGCGGAGGCTTCAATTGTAGAGGGCCAAATGATGGGCATAATTAAGGCAAGTGGTGGGATACCAGCGGAGCACTTTGGTGTTTCCACCAAGGATTTTGCAAATCCTGGCTTGATTAATCTGTTTAAACATCTGTGCATCCTCTCGCCTGTGCAACTTATCCCCGGGTATCTCTGCCCCTTCTGCTGCCTGCCTACCGTGCCTGTGTGTCTGCCTGCTCGTAGCGGATCAAACACAGCCGCAGCCCGCTCTGCCGCCTCGCTCGGCGCTCGCACACGATGCGAACGGTTCTGTCCTCCTTGAAATGCAGCTCACACTCGCATTCCGTAGTGGAACCGCAGGGCAGAGCCCACAGTATTGAGAAACCGGATCGAAGCGGGGCGGGCGGACGGCGGCGCCGGGAGCCGCGGGCGGGCGGCGGGCGCTGCGCCGGGGCCGTGCCGCTGTCCGGCCGTGCCGCCCCTGCCCCCGGGCCGCCGCCCCCGGCCCGGCCCCGCTCCCCTCGCCTGTCCCCCCACTTCTCCGCTCCAGGCAGCCGGCTCCAGCTCGCCTCCTTGACGTCATGTCTGTAGCGAGGCTTCAGCAGGCGCAGTGGAGGCAGGCAGCGTGTTAAACTTTCAGATCAAGTCCGGCGGCTCCCAACGCCGTGCGCGGGGGGCTGCGTGCAGCCGCCGCAGCTGGAACATCTGGAAGCGTTCAGTGTGTCTGTCTGTCGGCGAGAGGGAGAGAGCGGGGAGCGAGCGCGCTGAGGGAGGGGAGGGAGTAAGGGGCTGGGACTGTGCTCTCTTCCTCTGCAGAAACAGCTCCCTGCCAACACAACGCGCTCAGAATGGCTTTGAAGAGGAGGAGCAGCAGCGTTTGAACATCTCTCGTTTTTTCTTTTTTTTTTTTTTTTTTTGCCTTCCTCCTTTTCTTACTCTTGTAGTTGGTGGATTTTAAAAAGACATTTAGCCCTCAGAGGTTTGTCCTGGATGCTTTTGCTTTTTTTCCTTTCCCCCCCCTCTCTCTTGTTTCCCCCCTTCCTGTTCTTTTTTATGGTTTAACAGCCAGAGGTGCTGTGCTAAATTCTTGGAAGGGGCCCGGATGTACTGAGGATGCATTGCAATTTCACTAAAGGAGGCAGTAGTGGAAAGGATCAGTTTTTGGTGTTTGATGCAATAATGGGAATCAGGTAATAATAAAAGGGGAAATTCTGCAGCTCCATTCTTCCTTGAATTTTACCAAGCCGATTTTCGGAGGGATTAATCTGGACTCGTTTTAAATGGTCAATGAAAACAAGAGGATGTACATTCCAGAAGAAAACCATCAAGGTAAGCCTGAGATTTACCTCCGAGGACCTAGCAACCATTGCCTACCCTGCCCTTTGTCCGTTATCTCTCGGCTCGGTTCAGCCGCCGCTGCCACAGCCAGCGGCAGGCGGAGGGGCCGGGGCACAGGACAGCCTTTGACACCGGGTTCCATTCGGAGCACACAGCTCCACTCGGCCGGGCATGCTGCCGAGAGACCACCCCAGCCCCTCGGGGAACGGGTGTTAGGAAGCCCCGGGAAAAGAAAAGTTGCTTTAAGTCGCCGTCGTCGCCTTCTTAGGCGGAGGGGCGAGGAGGGGCGCCCGGCGAAGGGGCTGCGCGCTGGGGCCGGGGGCTGAGGGGAGCCGCGGAGCAACCCACTCCTCCGTCTCAGAGGAAGATTAACTCGCAGTGGGGCCAGAATTAAGGGATCTTTCCCAATTAACGTCGTCCCGGTCCTCCAAACCCCCGTCTGGGTACGGCTTCGTAAGACACCGGGAGAGGAGCCCTTCCCTTCTCTTACGCTATTTCTAATCTCTCACACGAAAGGGGAGGGGAAGGGAGAATTATCTGTTTACACACATATACACCATACACGCACCCATACTGAGAGAACGAGGGGCACCGGGGGTACCTGTATTAAAATTAAAGTTGGTTTTTACTTGGGGCACTGATTTCTCGCGGAGCTCCTCTCAGGATCGCCCGCATCATGGATACCAACCCGTGCTGCTGCTCCTCGGCATTAGCAAACGTCCCCCGCTATTCCCTGTAGTAAAACTTTGTTTGTCCAAACTCCAGAAGCCTTCCCCCGCCCCCTCTCCCCACCCGCCCAACCCCGATCTGCCTTTCCTGAAGTTATTTTTATCCTATTACCTGCATGGTGTCACCCCCTCCTCTCCCTTCCCTCCAGCCCTGGCTGCACACACACGTCGGTGTTGCAGAGCAGACAGAGCCATTTCCTCCCCTCGGCGAGAGAGGAGCAGCGCTCCGCCGGGAGCGGGTGCCGGGCTGCTTCTCCCTCCCCAGCAGAACCCCCCAGGGCGGCCAACTTCTTCCTCATCTCCCCCTTTGCCCCCGGCCCTGCCCTCAGGGCAGCCCCTCCCTCGGCCGGCGACAACTCGCCTGGCTGCGAACGAGCCCCCGCCCGCTGCGATCGAACACCTGCTCGGGGTGCGGGGGTGCCCCGGTGAGCCCCCCAGTCGGCCCTACCCCCGAATCCCTCGCAGGGGCGGCCGAGGGTGCAGCTGGGGAGGGGCGTCAGCGCTATGGCAGCCCTCAGTGGTGGAGGGGCAGTGGGTTTCGGAGATAACACCACCCTCCTTCCGATTAAATACAGATTAAAAAGAATAAAACCACCCAGCACCCCCACCCCTAGCCACTCTATCGAAATGAGATGGGAGGGGAAAGGAAGCAGCCCCTGATCCAGAGTGCTCCTTCTAAGTGGGAGCGAGTCCGCAGCACATGCATTCAGCAGGCGTAATTGGGCTGTTCTTCCTGGTCCAGAGCTGATAAAGTGGATGAAGAGCTCAGCCTCCATAGCAATATGCCAACGCTATGGCAACCTAAATCCAGCTCCCTCCTTATCAGCTGCAGTGATTATATAATTGGAGGAACAGTTTTGCATCTGTCTCTTGATGCGGATTGTCATTACTCCCAGGTGAAAGAACAACTTCTAAAGCAAACAGAAAATCAGCCAGGTGGAAGAGAGTTCTGTTCCCTGGTAGTGCTCAGGCTGCCATTTATTTACAATCTATTTTTATTTTGTGCAAACAGCACCTGAAAGGTTAAATTGATCAGTAGTCAAGAAAACCTGGTGGTGAGGAGACAGGAGCAAACCAATCACAACGTGGAATGGAGCCACTAAAGCAACCACAGATTCCCAGTTGCAAGGTAGTGGTAGAAAGGGAGTGGAAGATGAAGCTAGGTCTGTGATCCTTGTCTACTCCTTGCTTCTAAGAGAGAAGACTGATTTGAATAAGTCGTGCATCTTTCTCAGTTGCTAGCAGCGAGGTAAATGTTCTGGGTACTAGTGATGCAAGACCAATTTTGATGTCTGTTCCTGAAATGTGAGTGACATGATTAGGCCTCTGCCAGCAGTTGCTCTCTGCACAGGTCTGATCTCGGTCAGCCCTTTGTCAGCCTGCCTGAACAGCCCTTACACTCAGGTATCTGGGCAGTAGGGGAGCTGGTGTAATAGGGCTCACTTAAAATAAATAAATAAATAAAGCAGAGAGAGGTCATTAGTTACACTGTGAGGGCTGTGGGGAAGAGAAATTGCATTTTAAAGTGCTTTGTTGACTTCTTAACTGCTAATTTGGGTAGGTCTGTCATACGCTTGTCTTATGCTTTTGAACGTGACTTTGTACCCTGAAAATCTTTGACCCCAAACTAAGAATTTCCTAATTTTTTTTGATGTTAAAACATAAGCCTACTGTGTTTTCATTGCAGTCTCCTACTGCACAAAGGGGGAGTAAGTAGTATTATTTGTTGATGCTGAGACACTTTCCAATCTTCATTTTTTGCCACACAATGGAGTGTATTTTTTATAACTATTAATTATTCATTAATACCATAGAGCACGTGTCTGTCTAGAAAATGATGAAAACCCACCTGATAAGCACCAGCAAAAGCTTTCAAAAGTAGCTACATCACATCTAATGCACACGTGGGACCGGATGGAATCCTAGATGGGGCAGCTTTAATGAGCTTGCCTCACAATACTTTGAAAACTTGCTCTCTTAACATAAAATGGAAAATCAGTTGGCAAACCCACGTGTTGCAGCTCTCCCCGGGGAGGGACCGCAACGAGCCGTCCTGGCCCCTAGGTGCCCGCTCTGGATCTCCAGCGTGGCTCAAACACCTCGTGAGGTTTCGCTGCTGGCCCTGCTGGCGTCCGGTGGGATCTGTCCTGGGCAGATTTGGTGATCAGGCAGGAAATGAAAGCAAGGCAGCAGTTTTTGCTGTGTTTTCCAGCTCCGGGGATTAGGTGGGGAGGGGAAGCGGGGGGTCCCGGGCTGCCTCTCCCGGAAGGTGGCACTGCAGGGCCGCGGAGCCCCGGCGGCGCTCGCAGGGGCTCGGCAGGAGACACTTCCCGGGATGCTCATCCAGGCCCTGCTCTTCAGGAGGAAAGGCCAGATGTAGCACTGAGAGATAAGCGTCTATCCCGGAATAAAATTCATTAGGATTGAAGAGCCCCTGTTAGGTCATTTATTCCGTGTAGTAATGATTCTCTGAGTGAAAAGCCATTTCTGACACCATGTCTGAACTACCCTTCCTTCAATTTCAGATAATGCCTTTGGGCTTTGTCCTTCTTGCATATTTTGAACAGATTTCTACCTGCTGCTTGTAGAAAAGAACCCCCTCAGGTATTTGTCAACCATAATTAGGTCTTCTTGCAACCTCCTTTCCAAACCTGCACATACCCTGTTCTTGAAATCTTCCCCTGTAAGACACTCCTTTCATAGTCCTTGTATCTTCTGTATCTGTTAAATTAAGAACTAATTAGTATACCCTTTATTTCTCAGAAGCCTATTGATAGCGAGAGGGTCAAGTCACAAGCGTAGTCCCTAATGCATTTTCTGACCTGAAGTGAGGGTCAAACCCACAAATATTCCCCTAACTTTGCAGGTATTAATAGAGATGATTGTGTACACTTCACAGCTGATTTCAGTGGAAGGATTGAAATCTGTCTCATGCTGTGCTACAAGACAAAACCATTGGCTATAAGCACTAGAATTTATTGGATGTTTGCTTTAATTTTCTGCTCTATTTTCAGAATGCCAATTTTATTTCCTGTTATTTTTTGGGGAAATGCTTTTATGTGTAGGAGAAACCATGCTCTTTCTGTGGCGACAAAGTGATCAGATTAGCAAACCGAGTTGTCATGTTTGGCTATTTGTTCTTGTTCTCTTGTTTTGCTGTCAGAGTAGGCATTAGGGCATAAAGAATACCTCTAAATGGTCTGAAACAGCTTATCTTCAAGATTTTTGTAGAAAAAAGTCTGAATCACCGTTTAAAAACGCAGCACTTTAATTCCATCCCCCCACTCTATTTAACAACAAACACTTGTATTTATGAAATATTATCTTCTGCCTCAAAGTACTTGGAACTTTCAGTAGCTGTAAAGTGTTTAATGCAATATAATATGAAATAGCAGTGTAATATAAAAATATTTAAATAATGTGAAGTAACAGTACTTAAACATTCTGCATAATACAGTGCACTGCATTTACTTGTGAAAGGTGACAGCAGAGTCTTCAGAAAAGCATTTAAGTGCTTTCAAGCATTTCCTATCCTTAAAAGGAGTATTTAAGGATCCTGGAATTTAAAGCACATGCTTCTGAAAGATTGTCTTTGAAATTATCTTCAGTCACAGAAACCAGTCTTGGTTAGGTCATCATCAGAGTTCCTGTTGATTGGTTCTACCTGACGTTTGCTCTGCTGCCACACACACTTACCTGGTGTGCTCTCTGCAACCAAGGCACCTTTACCAACCCACTCTCACTTGCAGCTCTGCTCTGCAATCCAGTCTGTTTTGGGGGTCACATCCGAGTAATTCACTGCAGCAGATGTGACACGCTGTTGCCATGTGGAACTAATTTATCCTACCAAGATATTTGCTTTGAATTATTTGTCCTCATCTTTTTGTTTCCTCAAAACACTTCAGGGAACATGTTGTATAACTGCGGTGTTACTGGGTATGCTTAGTTTTGGCTTACTTTCTTTCAGTTTTTTGGAAAATGATTCCATATCCATGCTTAAATAGGATTTATCTGACTGGCAATCACTCTTAAATGTACTTTTTGGGTGTGTGCATGCGTGAATTGACATTTGTGGCAATTTGACTCGCTTTGAAGTGTCTTGTTTAACCCTTTCTGGGAAATGATTAAAGGAACGGAGTAATTCAAATTCAGGAACAGCAAATACAAGATCTCTTCTGAGCAAGTGTGTTCTCTAAATTTATTGACTATCAACCAACATAACAGATGTGACTGCTTGCAGTAAAAGTCTCTCTTAAATTATTG